ATATGACCTAGTAATTTCCTTCCTAGGTTTACACCCACCAGAAATGAAAACAATATGTCCACACAGAAATTTGTACACGAATGTTCACAAAAGCATTATTCATAATAGCTGAAAGGTGAAAACAATCTAAATGTCCATCAATTGTTGGGTTAAAATAGAAAAGTGGTATATCCATACAGTGGAATTATTACTCAGCCATAAAAAGGAATAAAGTACTGATACAAGCTACAGCATGGATGAATCTTGAAAACATGATAAGTAAAAAAGAGAAAAATATCATATGATTCCATTTATATGAAATGGTCAGAATAGGCAAACACATAGAGACAGAAAACAGATTTGTGGTTGCCAGGAGCTGGAAGGAGAAGAGATTGGGGACTGACTGCTAATGGGTACAGAGTTTCTCTTTGGGGATGATGAAAATGTTCTGGAATTAGATCATTGCAATGGTTGCACAACTTTGTGGACATACACTGAACTTTATTTTATTTTGTTCTGTGTTTTTACTTTAAAAGGATGAATTTTATGGTATGTGTTAAAAATAAAATTTTTAGCTAGAAAATATACTGCTGGTAATTCTGTGTGCCTTATGGTGATCCTCACATGTATGGGACAGGAGTGTGGAAAAGCAGGTGGTTTCTCTGAACTGTTTCTATGAGTCAGATTGTGCTTCAACAATCACATTCTGACAAGTGTCTCTTAAAATGTTTTAGGAAGTTGGGAGGAAGGGATGAAAAAGAGCACAAGGAGGGACACCTAATTGGCTTAGTGGTTGAGTGTCTGCCTTTGGCTCAGGTCGTGATGCTGGGGTCCTGGGATCGAGTCCTGCATCGGACTCCTTGTGAGGAGCCTGCTTCTCTTTCTGCCTATGTCTCTGCCTCTCTGTGTGTGCCTCTGGTGAATGAATAAATAAAATCTTAAAAAAAAAGAGCACAAGGAAATTTTTGGGAGTGTTGCATATGTTCATTACATTGATCATGTAATGGTTTCAATAGATATGTTCTCATACTAAAACAAATGCAATTTTATAATTTAAATATTTACAGTTTCATGTCTACCATTATATTTTTAATGCTGTGATGGGGGGAAAAATAATGCAGTGAGGGAAAAGAAAGTTTAGAGGAGACCCTAAACAACCAAGTTCAACAAAATTACTCAGCTCGTTGATCTTACAGTCTTCGACACTGGTCACTCTGACTGGTATGATGATGTCTTAGTTCCAGCTGCTGTAACAAATTACCATCGGCTGAGTGCTTAAACAACAAAAAATTTACTTCTCTCTGTTTTGGAAGCCAAAAGTCCAAGATCAAGGCACTGGCATATTCAGTGTCTGGTGTGGACCATCTTCTTGCCAGGCCCTCACATGGAAGAGAGGGAAAGCCCTCATATGTCTTTTCTTTTGAGGACACTAATCCCATTCATAAGGCCTTCACCCTTATCACCTAATTACCTGTCAAAGGCTCCAAATACCATTACATAGGGGACTAGTCTTCAACATACGAATTCTGAGGATATATTCAGTCCATAGCAATGGACACGGAGTAAGAGTGCTGCTTGCACATATGGAGGCTACATGAGGGTTTGACAGCATATAATCCCACTTCTGAGGCCAGTCTGGCTATTGCCACCTCTAAATGTCCAACTGCCAGCAATAGAGGCCAATTCCTTCTTGAGAGCAGCCAATCTTTTAGGGCAAGCTGTCTACGCTGGGCCCTGTCCACCTGAATGACTCATCCTCACAGCACAGATTTTATCCTGGACATGATGGGTTCACATTTTCTGCTGACAGGCCCCAGCCTGCACCACTATCTGGGGATACAGTGGCTCCAACCAGGAACCCACTTACAGCAAAGGAGCTGCAGTGTGGATCCATGAACACGGAGTTCAATGACATAATCATGAACCACACCATCCATAAGCAGTGGTCTGATAGAAATTGCGATGGTTTGTTGAAGGCACGACTGATGACCAGCTCAGAGGCAACCTCCTGTGAGACTGTTGAAAATGTAGCAACTCTCCTACACGGTATCTAGAAGGAGTGTCAGTCACTTTACAGAGCAAGTTGTAGGAAGAAATGGTAAAGCATACAATCCCGTCATTCTGCTGATGTGTGTACATCCCAGGAAAATTTTAGATTAGGTACAGAATGAGACATGTACAAAAATATTTTTGCAACATTTTTAATAATAATATATTGTAAACAACTTAAAAGACCCATTACAGGAGAATGGATAATAAAGCAGGGAATATCCAGACAGTGGGATACCATAGCAGTTAAGTTGAATGAACTAGAGCATCATACCAATATGGATAAATCTTAAAAACATAGTATTAGAGAAGAAGATAAGTTGTAGGATATGATAATAACATTTGCTTTAAACTTATGAACATGAAAAACTTAATGTTATATATAGTAATATATTTTTATATGCAGTATTGTTGTATATGGATCCATACACTCATGGTAACTATATAAAAACATGTATGGGGACGATAATCACCAAATCCAGAATAGTCCTTGTCTCTGGGGTGGAGGCAGATAGATTAAACCATAGGAGCCTTAAATTCTAGCTACAATATTTCAATTTAAAAAATAATCTGGGGGGATCCCTGGGTGGCGCAGCGGTTTGGCGCCTGCCTTTGGCCCAGGGAGCGATCCTGGAGACCCGGGATCGAGTCCCACATCGGGCTCCCAGTGATTGGAGCCTGCTTCTCCCTCTGCCTATGTCTCTGCCTCTCTCTCTCTCTGTGAGTATCATAAATAAATAAAAAAATTAAAAAAAAATAATAATAATCTGGGGACGGGGATCCCTGGGTGGCGCAGCGGTTTAGCGCCTTTGGCCCAGGGCGCGATCCTGGAGACCCGGGATCGAATCCCACGTTGGGCTCCCGGTGCATGGAGCCTGCTTCTCCCTCTGCCTGTGTCTCTGCCTCTCTCTCTCTCTCTCTCTCTCTCTGTGTGACTATCATAAATAAATAAAAATTAAACAAATATATTTAAAAAAAATAATAATAATCTGGGGACGCTTGGGTTGCTGAGTGGTTGGCTCAGAGCATGATCCCGGGGTCCTGGGATGGAGTCCCACATCATGCTCCCTGTGGGGAGCCTGCTTCTCCCTCTGTCTATGTCTCTGCTTCTCTGTGTGTCTCTCAGGAAGAAATAAAGAAAATTTTTTAAAAAATAAAAAATAAATAATCTAAAGCAGATGTGGCTGAATGTTAGAATTTTTCAAAGCATGCAGTGACTACATGGGTGTTTGTTATCACTAAAATTTCTATGTCATTATTTGTTAATAAAGCAATGTTTTCCAAACTGCACATCACTTTGCATAAGTGGTTTGTGAAGTCAGCCGTGTGGCTTATAACAAAATCTTTAAAAAGAGAGAGAGAGTGAGTAATAGAAAAGTATCAGAATATTTAGGTAAAGAGTTAAATATTGTCTTGTATAATTTTCACTTCAGTGTTTACTGTATATTTATAAAATATATTTCCTTGTGAGAGTCCTAGACCAAAATATTCAAAAGCCACTTATTTAGTATCTGAAGTTATTGTCTAAACATACTAAATAGGTGACAAAATTTTTCTTATGTCTGACCTTAAGCAATTTTACTGTGTTAAACACTTAAATTATGTAGAACTTATTAAACTTTGTTTCATAGCCAGTCACATCTACAGATATACCACCCATTGAAGAAATTTGAGTTTGAAAAGCCTTCCTATTTTTCTTTAAAATATTTAAATATCTTTATTAAATATTAAGATAAAATTTACATATTTAATATAGTCAAATATTTTACATATTTAAATTACTTTGAAACATTATTTTAAGATCTGAAATTTGCAATTTAACTAAGGTTTAGTTTGGGTTGGGGATGAGAAGTTAATGGGGGGACTGATCTAGGTTTTACTTCTTACTTATATTGCATTGTCTATAAGAAAATATGGCTCCATGGAAAAGTGATGCCAAAAATTGATTGATTTATTGACTCAGCTATATTCTTTGCTTTATTTATTTATTTTTTTTGCGGTGTAAGTATTTCATATTAACAAAAAGATTTTTAAATCCCATCCTTGTAATTCTAAAGCTTTCATTTCGTTGAATTCATGAACACCTGAAGATGAAATGAAAGGGGTCATTAGCTTCTCGAATGGAGAAGTTGTTTTGTTTTTAATCTTGATGCATTCTGATGAAAAAGATGTCCTTGCAATGACCTCTTGTTTCCATGAGGTAGAGTGGGTCTTTAGCCTTTGGAAGCAACGGAGCCACAATTTAGACAGGAGCGTGCATTGTTTTGAGCACACATGTGTTATAAGAGCAAAAGCCTACCATGAAAAGACCCATTGGGAGTGGAGTGTTTCAAAAGTCCAATCAAAGCAAGCACCACCCTTGATCTGAGAAGTTGTGCTGTGGATGGAAAAAAGAAAGCGGGGCTGATGGAGCAAAGGGACACCACCATCGATAAAGGAGGGAACACTCACACGCTGAAAGGGAAATTGGGGACTTCTGGTTTCAAACATGGGCCCCCAAATGTGTCCACAGTGTGAGAGCAACCATAAAATCAGGAGAGCAATGGGTCATGCAAGGAGCAGATGGTAACCTTGGGTCCTCTGTCAGAGAAAATACTTTGGCCTCCTTGAAAACAGGTTGGTTTGAGGGTGAAATGGACAACCATGCTTAAAAGGAAAACTAAATATTTCTCCTCACATCCACACCCCCCCAAAAGACACTCTTAACCGTAATGAATATATAAAGAATCATCAGCCGCTCCTGAATACTCAACAAGCAGCCTCCCTCTTCCTCCCTCCTACTCGCTCCTCTAAATAAGAAGGTATGCACAGATACAGTAGGCTTTTTGGAGACGTTGGAGAATTCTCAAGATGCTTTATTTTCTCACACACATGCTTTCAACCTATTTGGAAAATGTTCTACTTTGAGCAAAGTTTCATACTCTTAAATTCACCAAATAATTTCTAATAAAATAAAAACTACTAAGTATATTGTGCTCGCCTTGGCAGCACAGAGACTAAAATTGGAAAGCTACAGAGAAGATGAGCATGGCCTCGGTGCAAGGAAAACATGCAAAACTACTGAGTATATAGTTAAATGTGGTTTGTTTAAACTTAAATCTATAGATCTTAGACTATTTTATTTTGGATGGCATCATCAGAGATGAGTCTAACACAAACTCCAAGATGCTGTTTTCATTCAAGGGAAGGGGGTCATACACACCTGGCATGTCTTTATTCTCATACCAGCTACGTGCTGCCTGAGACCCACTCCTGCTATGGGTGACTGACTTTGGAGTCTTACTTTTAGATCGCTAATTTAAGAAGCTTCTTCTTACTTTTAAATGTTGATAGTTTCATGTTATTTCAGAGGTATTCCCCTGAAAAAATTTCCATCCTTATTTTTAGAGTTTCTTATTATGGAAAAATTTAATTATATGCAAAAGTAGACAGACTCGTATGATGAACTCGAGTCATCCAGATTCAAGAATTATCAGCTCAAGGTCAATCTTGTTTTATCTATGCCCTCACTTACTCCCTGCCCTCCCATATTATTTAGAAGAAAGTCCTGACATCATATAATTTCAAGCATAAGTATTTCAATATGTAACTCTAAAAGACAAATATTCAGATTCTATTTTATGTAATTTTGTAATTTCTATACCGAATGTGAGGCTCTAACTCACAACCCCAAGATCAAGAGTTGCATGATCTTCTGACTGAGCCAGCCAAGTGCCCGGACAAGGATTTATTATTTTATTTTATTTTACTTTTTTAAGATTTTATTTTTAGGAGTGCCTGGGTGGCTTAGACAGTTAAGCGCCTGCCTTCAGCTCAGGTCATGATCCCAGGGTCCTGGGATCAAGCCCCATGTTGGGCTCCCTACTCAGTGGGAAGCCTCTTTCTCCCTCTCCCTCTGTTCCTCCCCCTACTGTGCTCTCTCTCTTTTTCAAATAAATAAATAAATTCTTTAAAAAAAAAGATTTTATTTTAAAGTGATCTCTACACCCAGCATGGGGCTCAAGCCTACAATCCTGAGATTAATAGTTGCATGCTCTGCTGACCAAGCCAGCCAGGCACCCCAAGGTTTGTTTTGTTTTTCTTTTTAAATAAAACAGATCCAGGGATCCCTGGGTGGCGCAGCGGTTTGGCGCCTGCCTTTGGCCCAGTGCGCGACCCTGGAGATCCGGGATCGAATCCCACATCGGGCTCCCGGTGCATGGAGCCTGCTTCTCCCTCTGCCTGTGTCTCTGCCTCTCTCTCTCTCTCTCTGTGACTATCATAAATAAATAAAAATTAAAAAAAAATAAAACAAATCCATAGTTCAATTTTGCACCTAAAAATGAATAATAATTTTATAATTTCAAATACAGTCAGCCGATTATATTGCAGTCAGTGATTCAAACCAAATCAGTTTTTGAGGAAAGCTCTCATTTTGTACCATAAGGAAGACAATGTGGTCTGCCTTCCTGTCTACAGAAAGAAGAGATTCGAGTTGAAGCAGGGATGGAGATAGGAAAGGGAAATGTGATCATACCTGCGTCACCTGGATTAGTGAGGGCTCTGACTTCAGGTCAGAACTGGAATTAACAACCACAAAAGGACGCTTTATTTCAATGATCTTGGAGAATCTGATGGACCAAAGTGCAGAAAGTCAGTGGGAGCTCGGAAGGGATCTGAACTGGGGAATGGAATGGTGTCACCCCAAGGGGACCCTCTCTATCATACAGCTCTCCTCTCCCTCACCTATATTCATTCCCCATGTGTGGGAAAAAGCTATGCTAACGCCCCTGAATTTTCTTGACTTCTCTATATAAGAAACCAGCCAACATGGGATGGGAGTATCTTAGAATTGCAAGTTGCCTGGAAAAGGGGCTCTGATTCGGCCAGTTGGGGTCAAGTGTCCTCTCTTGGTCCAATCAGCAGGGACTGAGGGGCTGGGTCACATGTCACAGACACGGCTGTCAAAAGTTTACCCACGTGGTCTGGTGGCCAGGTAAAATCTTCCAGAGAAAGCCAAGGGCCATTGCTCATGGACTGGGTTGTTGCCAAGGAAGGGTGAGAGCAGAAGCATTCCTGGAACTGAGGAATCGGGGGTGGATCACTGTGTGTAGGTCTCCCGGGCAGGACGGCGTTCCTCTCTCCCCAGGCCACAGTGGACAGGTGTCCTCACTAGGGAAGGGCTTCTCTTCTGGGCCGGGTTGTCAAGTTCAACCAATTCTGTGCTTCTCTCCCTGAGGGTTTTATTTTATTTTTATTTTATTTTATTTTTTTTCTTCCTGAGGGTTTTAGAACACAGACTCCCCTGCAAGTTTTTCTCCTGTGATCCCAAAGTGAGGACCCCCCTACAGGCCAGTGAGCGAGCTAGTGTTAGTCGCTGCTTCTAGCTGGGTCTTGTCCCATGGCAGGTAGGGGCTGGGAGGTTGCCAGAAAAAAAACCCTTAAAACTAGGTCCCCCATGCATCACAGGACCTGAAAGCAAGACTAAAAGATGGGTAAAGACGAAGGCACAGTATGAGATGTGGACAGGAGACGAAGTTTGGAAAGAATCAAACACTAGCTTCAGCTGAAGTGCGTAAGGCAAGGCCCGACTAGGTATGTTCATCTTCATCCTCTTCACTGGGCTCTCTTTATTCCTTGTTCTTTCTTTTGCTCTCTCCTTGCTTTCTTCCTCCCTCTCTCCTTTCATTCCTTTTTTCTACTACTTTCTTGCTCGCTTTCCTTCTGTCTCTCTCCTTTATTCCATGTTCCTCCATTTGTGTTTTGAGGAGCATCAGCAGAAATCACCTCGGAGGCTCCGTAAAGATGCAGGCTCTGGGCCTTGCTCCCAGATGTTCAGTTTGGCAGCCCCGGGGCCTGGCCTGGGAATCAGCCTTTTTTTAACAAGTCAGGAGATTTTTATACACACCGAAGTTTGAGCACCACTTGCTGTGAACGGAAACATTAGTCAAGTTGACCCCAGAATGTTCCATTCATTCTTGTGCCTTTAAACAGGATGAGTTTTCCTAATATAATTTCCCTACATTTCTGTGGTGATGGAGATGTGTGCAGCCAGCATACCACAGTTGTTAGGGGAGGCATTTAAGTCTACACCCTAAATACCTCTCCTCCTGCTCCAGGAGCTGCCCTAACAGCTGCCTGGTTCAAGAAAAGCTCACGCAGCTCTCCTGGGCTCCCAGTCATAGGGAAGTGTTTTGTTAGCTTCCCTCCATATGATAACGTATTAACACTCTTGAACATGGCATTGGTACCGTGAATTGGCTGACAAAATCATAATTCTGTTTGTACAGCAATTGTAAATTCTAATTTTTGAAATGTCACCCAATCCTGGTTTGATATAACTGTATCTAGATTCATATGTCAAAGTGCCCTGACTGGGAAGAGAGTCTTCCCTGTAGAAAGCGTAGTAGCTACCATGAAATTACAGGTGAGGCCACCAGGTTGTATAAAGTCGTGTTGGGCTGGTCTTGAAAGAACCATTTCTTTTCATTTCTTATTCTTTTTCTTTTTTAAGAAACAGCTTTATTATTAGCCTTTGGCTAAGATCAAGCGTAGTATCTGTTCTTATCAGTTTAATATCTGATACGCGCTCTATCCGATGACAATATATTAAATGGATTTTTGGAGCAGGGAGATGGAATAGGAGCTTGCTCTGTCCATCCTGTGCATTAAACTGATCTTACAGTTCCTCCAGTAACTGTGTGCCCCCTTGGGGGCTTCAAACTTGTGGTGGCTGGACCAGTCAGTAGGTCTTGGGATTCTTTCTTTCGAGGTCATGAGTTCAAGCCCCATGTTGGGCATGGAGTCTTCTTAAAAAATAATAATAGGGTGGTTCAGTTGGTTAAGCATCTGACTCTTGGTTTTGGCTCAGATCATGATGTTGGGGTCGTGAGATTGAATTCCCCGTCGGGCTCCATGCGCAGTGCGGAGTCTGCTTGAATTTCTCTCTCCCTCTCTCTCTGCCCCTCCTGCTCGTGCTCTCTTTGTCTGAAATAAATAAATCTTTTAAAAGAATAATATAATAAATTTAAAAGATACATTAAAAACAGATTTACTGAGAAATAATTTATATACCTTAGGGGTGCCTGGCTGACTCAGTTGGTAGTGCATGAGACTCTTGATCTCATGGTCGTCATCATAAATTTGAGTCTCGCATTGGGCATAGAGTTTACTTGAAAAAGCTTTACATACTATAAACTCACCCACTGCAAGGACACAGTAGATGTGTTTTAGCAAATCTTTGTATTTACACGTGCATTATGAATGAATCCAGTCCTTCAACACTTTCATCCATCCAAAAGGCTCCCCTTGCCCCTTGGCAGTCACTCCCTGTTCCCACCTGCAGCCCCAGGCAACTACTGATCTACTTTGTCTCCACAGTTTTGCTTTTTCTAGAAATTTTCTATAAATAGAATCGTAAACTATATATAGTCTTGTGTCTGACTACTTTCACAGAGCAAAATGCTTCTGAGGTTCATCCCAGGCTGTTGTGTAGGTCAGTAGTTCATTCATTTTCATTGCCAAGTAGTATTCCCTTGGGTAGATCATTTTAAGGGTTTAATTGAAAATGTTTTCATGGTGATATGATTGGAACTTCTGTATGACTAGAAACTCCAAACCTAGACAATTTTTTGCTGTCTCTGTGCTGTCAGGGGAGAGGAAACCTCCAGGTCATTTCAACCGTGTCAGCTGGCAGAGAACATGAGAGGATAGTTTTGGAAAGTTGCTTCAACACTCAACTTGTGTTCTCAGATTTCAACTGGTGACACCTAGTTTTCAGTGAAAAAGCATTGCATGTCTTTTACAGGACGTAATTGTTGAATGCAGGTTTTTTTCTGAAACTTGCTAATATTGATCAGGTAAGATTTATAATATGCCTGTGAGCTTAATTACAATTTTATGTGTATTTTACTATATAGGAAGATCCATGTATAACTACATGATCTACTGCAAGCATACCAGTCTGGGGCACACTTGTTTTCTAATCACCTTAATTCTTGGGTTCACAGGGATGGGCTGCAGCTCCTAAAAGAGATAAAAATGTGATATTCTGTGAATGTGCTCCATGCATCTATTTTGGAGTGCATAGCCTCTGGTTCAAATATCTTTGTGTGTATATTGTTTTGGAAATACTTTCTCAGCTTTGGAGGCATTCTCCAAACACTTTCTGACATAGCCCACATTCCGGGGTATTTGCTCTCCCCCCACGATCCATTTCCGGCTGCACAGCTGAGTGGCCCAAAGAGGAAAGAGTATGTAGTGGTTTGGAGAATTTAGTACAGTGGGTCCTGGAGGTCTTTATTTTTAACAGTATGATTAAACAATATTTCTGACAGCACAGGAAATTAGACACATGTTTACGAAGTGCTTCTTTTGAAAAAGGCACAGTGCCAGGGTATAAAGTAATGATGTACATACTTCATTCATTAAAAAGAAATATTAGCACAACTATGGGCTGGGTGCAGTGGGAGATATGAAATTGAGTAATTCTCATCTTGAAGCAATGTGCCTCATCACAGGAGGAGATACGACTTTGGTGTTACTCTTCAGGTGATCTGTGTTTGCTGATGGGCTTTGGAAATCTATGTTCTTTCTCTGGTTTGTTTTGGCAGAAAAATGGTTTCTGAATTATTCTGGAGACAATCAGAATAATTGGGCATCACCCAAAGACAAGTTTCTTTCCTACTAGAAGAGCATACATTAAGTGGATCCAATGGTTTTGTGAAGGTGCATCTAAACATGTCTGCAGCTTATGAGATCTTTCATCTTAACCTTGATGATAGGAAACTTCTGTACCCATCATCGAGGGGACACGGTAGGTTCCGAAGGAGCCCTGACCCAGGAGCCAGAACACCCCGGGGACTCCTTTGGCTTTGATGCTAATTAACAGGGTGATCTTTGGCATCAATGTTGATTTCTCCAGGGTCTCAGTTGTTTCATGTAGAAAATGAGGACATTCATCACAGTAAGTTTTTAGGTTCCTTTCAGCAAGAAAATTCCATGAGGCCTTTTTCACTGAGGAAAACAAATCCCTGGCAAGCCCTTGTCTAATAATTACTGTTAGGTAACCCTCCTAAGGCTTTGTGACTTTTCCCATCTTCAGGTGGCACACATTTTTTCTTTCCTTGAGTTTATAATGGAGCAAAGTTAAGAAACATGGCATTGATACATACTGAGGTTTGAAACCTTGATTTTTGCCTGAATAGTAATATAGTAATGAGAAAATTAACTTTGTGTTTCTTCTTCTTCTTCTTCTTCTTCTTCTTCTTCTTCTTCTTCTTCTTCTTCTTCTTCTTCTTTTATTCTTCTTTCTTCTTCTTCTTCTTCTTCTTCTTCTTCTTTTCTTCTTCTTCTTCTTTTTTTGGTTTAGGTTTATTGACCCAACCTCTTTTAAAGATAGATTGATTGATTTGAGGGAGGGGTGGGGTGGAGCAGAGGGAGAGTCTTAAGCAGAGTCTGCACAGAGCGTGGAACCCTACAAGGGGCTCAATCCCACAACCCTGAGATCGCGACCTGAGCTGAAACTAAGTGGGATGCTTAATTGTCTGTGCCACCCAGACACCTCTAACTTTGGTGTTTCTGTAACATATGTATATGTATATATACACACGTACCCTTTCAACCATGAAGATGAGACAATCAAGTCATTAACATAGGCAAATTAGAAGTGAGATTTTGGAGTTTTAGTCTTATTTCTCTCATCCTCCACCAACCTCCAATTCCAAGACTGGTAAACCATGAAAATGGTGACAAAAGTTGTATGACATCCATGTCCCAGTGTCCTGATGTTCTTAAAGAAAGGATAAAATCCCTGTCTTTGTAATGTAAAAAGTAGCAATTGTTCATCTCTTAAGTTTTAATGATTATTTCTCAGCTATCTACAAAAGCTGTGATAAAGTCTTTATGAAGAACAAAGGATGTCAGAATACCAAAAACATAAAAATTAAAGTTTTACTGTTTATCTCCCTTCTGTATACATGATGCGAAGCAACTGGGCATAGGCAACCCTGGTACATTCTGATAAAATTCAGATATCAGGTCTCAGAAAGCTCTGTAAGTCTTCATTCTTAAGAAACATTTAATCTGTTCTTCAGTTTTCAAAAGGTATATCAAGAAAATCGACCCCGAAGTGTAGATACAAAGTTTAGGGTTTAAGTCAAACCTCCAATTCGTTAGTCATGAAAAGCATGATGATCATATAATCAGAAAACGCTTTCTTCCTGTCCTCAGCTGAAAATGGGAAATAAAGTGCCTGCGTGTGATACAGGCTTGGGACGAGAGGCCAGCGTGGCGGGGAGGCAGGAGCCAGCACAGACACAGGGAGGCAATGCCAGGAAAGATCTGAGAGCACGTGGGTGGGTTAGATTAAAGATGAATCTAGTAACCAGGGGGCATAGAGGTTTCCAAAGCTAGATGTAAGCAATATAAAAGTAAGTTTTTTTTTTAAAAAAGTAAGCTTTCAAGCAAATGCTGAAATTAGGTCCTGCAGCAAATGACAGAAAACCCAAAGTAACAGTGGCATGAACACGATTGAGATGTTTCTCTACACAGCTGTGTGAGGGTGCCCCAAACAACAGGAGCCCAGGTTCCTTCTACCGGGTTGCTCACATCCTCAACATGAAGCTTCTCCTCATGGCCCAAGACAGCTCTTCAGGCCCCCTCTAGCAGCAGAATGAAAGAAGGGGGAGGAGAACAAGCTCCCGTTTTTGTTTTGTTTTGTTTTGGTTTTGGTTTTTTAAAATTTTTATTTATTTATTTATTCATGAGAGACACACACAGAGAGAGAGAGAGAGAGAGAGAGAGAGAGAGAGAGAGAGGCAGAGACACAGGCAGAGGGAGAAGCAGGCTCCATGCAAGGAGCCTGATGCAGAACTTGATCCCAGGACTCCAGGATCATGCCCCAAGCCAATGGCAGGCGCTAAACCGCTGAGCCACCCAGGGATCCCCCAAGATCTTGTTTTTAAGAATACTTCCCAAAAATGGCAAATACCAACTCCACTTACATCCCATGGCCTAGAATTTAGTCATATGGTCCCAACTAGGTGCATGGGAGGTTGGGATTCTGGCAGAGGTTGAGTTTCTTGATTCTGAGTACTTTGTGCTCAGTTAAAAATTGGGGTTCTATTGTTGCAGAAGAGTGCAACTGTGTAGTACAGACTTTACCCTTACCCAGAGAGCAGTCTGGCCCTTGCCTTCTGCTTCTGATTGGTTGTCAAGCTCTACGGGAGTGTGTAGATTGGGGCCTGCCATGTCAGAAAGTCCATGTGATTGAAGGTTATTTTGAATGGGGTCTTTGGGTCACAAAGTATTACTTCAGCTCCAAGAGGGGCTTGGAACTGAGATCAGATATATGGGAAACCAGTAGGACTGCATGATGGAGCCCCAGCAAAACTCCAGTCTCAGGGTTTGGATGGGCTTTCCCGGTTGGCAGTGCTCCATGTGTGTTGTCACTCATCGATGCCAAGAGAGTACGCTGCCCATGACTCCACAGGGAGAGGACAATGGAAACTCCATTTTGGGTACTTTCCTGGACTCTGACCCCTGTACTTCTTCCCTTGGCTGATTTTAATCTGTATCCTTTTGTTCTAATTCACTCTAACTATGGGTTGGGTTCAACAGCTTCTAGTAAGTTCTGTGAGACTCTCTGGTGAACTAACTATTGAAACTGAGGATGGTTTTGGGAATCCCACAAACTTGTAATTGGTTTCAG